GAAAAACGTTAGTGAGGTTGTGGGAAGAAAAAAAAATGAATGCTTCTGTGTTGTTGGTGGGAATGGAAACTAGTATGACCACTGTAGAAATTCCACCAAAAAAAAAAAAAAAAAAAAGGCAAAAATAGAAATTCCATTTGACCTAGCTATGCCTCCTCTATATATCTTCCCACAAAAGCCAAAGTCATCAGCTTTTACTCTGACACAATCATACCCATGTTTAGAGCAACACAACTCACCATAGCTAAATTATAGGCACAACCTGTATGCCCATCAAAAGATGAACAGATAAAAAATGAAGAATTTTTATAAAATAGAGTATTACTCAGCCATAAAGAAGCATAAATTAAGTTATTTGTAGGAAAATAGATGGATCATGAAGCCATAATAGTAAAGGAAATAAATTGGAGAAGGCTAAATATGACATAGTTTCTCTAAAATTTAAATAATTTTAAAACCAAAAGAATGATGTTAAAAAAAAAAAAGTTAGACACTGTATAGACAGGAAGAGGACCGGGGAAAAGAAGGGAGAGAGGAGGGAGGGGCAAAGATATAAAAATGATCAAGATGTGATAGGTATAGGCACCAATTTCCTAAGATGAGTGTAGCTGCTATGCGTGGCAAACACATAATATTTAAATGTTTTGGTAAAGTCTGCCTGGCATCTCTCTGGACACTCCATCAATATCCTTGTCTTCCGTATGTTTCAGGGTGGGGAGGAGTGAGCCATGAACTCAACGGCCTGCCTTCTTCAATACTTCACATCCTAAAGTGCTTTGTGGTCAACATTTTTCACTAAGGCCAGAAAAGATGAAAGACTGATTTTTCACCCGTGGCCCTGCCCTTCTGCGTGTGAGAAACAGGTGTGCAAGGATGGTGGAACACACAAACCAAACTCGGATCCTCGCCGTTTCAGACTGCGCGCCCCGCGCATCTGCGCCTGCGCACCCCGAGGCGGGCATGCGCAGGGGGAGCGCGGTTGCCTGGGAGACCCTGTTACCTGGGCGCCTGAGGACCAGCAAGTTGGGCTCTGCCACCTCTGTGATGCCACTCGGCGGGGTCCGGGCACCCAGCGCTGAGGGCCACCCAGGCAGGACTTGCCTCTTCAGCCTGGGCCCTGGTGAGGAGCCAACGGGGACCCCATAGGCTGCCGGGACCTGAGCGCGCGATAGGACAGGCTGGGCAGAGGAGTAAACTGCGAGGGGGCGGAGGCCTCAGTCCTCTGCAGGGTCCGGAGGGCGCCCCAGGGCGGCCTGCCTGTTTAGGGGGTGACAGCGGGCCTGGGGGCGCGCCCGGGGGCTTGTGCTCGGGCTGCTTTTGCCTTAGTGAAGAGGTCACCAGCAAACAAAGACGAACCGCTACTTTCTTACTTTCTATTGATTTTATAAAAACGGGATGCATGGTTGGGTGGTAGAATAGCCGAATGTAGAATACTTGTACTTCTTTCTTCCATCAGTTAAGCTGGGGGTTGTAAACACACAGGCAAACACATTATTTTTTCTGATTAGTAATTTGATGAATACTTCACTTAGGGTGGCTTTGGTGGCGGCTTGATAGCGATTCTAGTGATAATAAATATTTTATTCTCCCAGATCTCTTCATGCTTCTTTCCCTGTTAAACTGTGAAGAGAATTTCTGTGAAAAGAATTTATCTGTATACACAAAATGACTTATTTTTACTTTCCTGTTTTACGAAAAGTGACCATAGCAATCTTGATACAACTTTTCATCATTACACAAATTCTATAATTCTGTGATCTTTTATTTCATCAGGACAGAGATATTAAACTTGTTGCCTATAGGCCTAAACCCTTTATTAGTTCTCAGAGTGTATATAGTTTACTTCAGTTACTAACATACTGTTTTCTCTCTTTTGCTATCACTGGCTGTTGTAGCATTTAGAGACACTAAGAAAATAACTTTTAGAAACCAAGATTCATTAAAATAGTTGTCATTAAACTTTAAGTTTTGGAGTCATTTAGTCAGAACTTGCTCCTTTCTGAAAAGATCAAGACCAAAGTGTTGAAATCATCAGGTGGCATGACTCATGCTGTTGATTTATGCCTGACACACTAGCGTATGGAATTTTAGACCTACACAGGGATAAAGTCCCAAAAGGGGATAGAACTATTCCCTAGGATTTTATCTGGTGTAAATGTGATCTAAACACAAGGAAGAAATACAGGAATGATAGGGAAAAAAGGAACCGGAGATACCTTTAGAATAACAGGAGCAACTTTGATAACATCCAATAGGAAAGACAGTTCTTTTAATATACAGAGAAGAGCAAGGTGGCAGGTGTGTATCAGGAAAAACCACAGTTGGCCAATTGAAGCACAAGAACTTGGTTTTGAAAACATAACATGGCATTATAAATTGCATTAAATTAATTATTAATTGCAAATGAATTGTTGAGAGCTTTACTTTATCATCTAGAGACGCAGTTTACCACTAAGAGACAATATCTGTAAGAGACCAGTAATGTGTAGTCATGCAGCGAGGCTTTCGGGTCCTAGAGACTTATTCAGAACAGGTGAATGCAAAGTGATGCCTCCAAGAATCAAACCTCAGAAAGAAGCTGTTGCTTCTGAGTTGGAGAGGTAATTGCAAAACTGTTTTAAAAAATCAAATTTAGGTATTTTCTACTGAGAAAATCATACATATGTGTTTTGTGGGTTTTTTTAGAAGTTTGATAATGAAGATATCGCCAAAGGTTAGAAACAAAATCACCTAGAGGAAGTGCTGGTAGTATGGCGTGTGGAAGTGCACAAATCTCTAGAGCAGACAGCTTTGTTATAGGGGTAAGTAGTATTCCACTTTCATGATCATAAACTATTCCAGTTTTTGAAAGGGTGGTATTAATTGGAGACTGGATAAAGATGTGGTTTTTTTATAAAATGGAGTACTACTCAGCCATAAAGAATGAGAAACTAGAGACATTTATAGCTAAAGGGATGCATATTGAGGCCATCCTCTTAAGTGAAATAAATAGGACACACACATGTAATACCGAATAGATTCTCTGGTGTGAGAAACTAAAAGTGTAAATAAGGATCAAAATGTATAATAGATATTGTGAAATAGGAAGAAAAGGTCTAAAAGGGTAGGGAAAGTGGGAGGGGTAAGGGAAAGGAAAGAAGGGAAAAGAAAAAATATGAGAAAAGAAAAAAATGGAAACAAAGTCTTGCAAATAGAGAAGGGTGGAGGGGATGAAGGGAGGGCCGGGGAATGGGGAAAAAATAAGAACCAAGATGCATCATGTAGAGGTACAAGATCCCAATGATGAATGTAACTGTATTGCATACCTAAAATGTACCAATAAATAAACTTAATTTTAAAAAAGGGTGGTAACGTTGGATCTGGAAAAGGGCAGATTTAGTTCAATCAGAGGATAAAAGATAATTTTTTTAAATGTAGATTGTCTTCTATAAATTTTGATTGATCTCATGTCTCTCTTCATAAACAAAAATGTACTTAGAAGTAATTGTACTAACCAAACACACACATGCAGGATAGTAGAGAAAGCAAAATAAGTAGTAAAATTTTAGAAAGAGAATATATATATTGAGAATATGTATATTGAGAGGAACATATTGTTACTATTTTTATATCTGTGCGTTAAAATGATTATAAATTCATTTGTTCTAGTAAGCTATAAACCTGTTAAATTACAGACCATTTATCTAGTTCTCTCAGTAAACATCAAGGAATTACGAGGATCATGCACTTTGAAATCTGCAGAGGAGAAAACATTCTCACTAACTTTAACGTCTCCTTTCAATCTGGGTACTGTGTAGACCAGTTGTCCAAGTCTGCTTCCTGATTGTTAGCAGAGGTACTTACTTAATTTCTGAGATCAAAGACAACCTTGGGAATGGAATGAAACCCATGAGTCTTCTCCCAGAAGTGCCCTTCCTTTTTCTGCATGAGAAGTTTAACTTCCTGGAACCAGTTCATTGGCTCTTGAGTAAGAACCATTTTTAAATTTTAAAAACCCATCTTGTCATCCACACACTTCCAAAGCCTTGACTATTTGGAATTTCATAGCCTTATAGAACAGTGTTCAGTGATATAGAGACATTCTTTTTCACCCTTTTAACCATGGGGATTAATTCTCTTGACAGCAATATGCCTACACAACAGGTATTCACTGAGGGCCTGCCCTGCATGGAGCACCACACCATAGGGAGAAATCCAAAGTCCGGCCCTCAGGGGCTTTCAATCTAGTGGGAAATATTTCTCCCAATCAAATCAAGACCCTCTAGAATGACACCATCTTTGCAAATTTGATGCATCAAGAAACCTTAAATTCTAAATCTATAATACATAAGGTTCTTATCAGAAAAGAGATGTTTCTCTTTTAAAAAGAAAATGTATCTTCTTCAAAATGTATCTTTATAGTCAGCCAATTGCATTAGTGTGTTTCATAGAGTACTTGATTTACAAAGATTTGCTAGAACCCTTAAGACATTAAATAGCTTCCTACTAAAGTTTATATGAAAATGAAAATAATATCCTGTCATTTTAAAGAGTAATTAAACATGCCGGGAATTTACCTCAGTGGTTCCACCACCTGCCCCACAAGCACAAGGACCTGAGTTCGATCCCCGGTACCAAAAAGAGTAATTAAATGTGATTCAGTGTATGAATTACCAGTTGACATATAAATTCCGAAATAAATTTACTATGACATATTTACTGTGAGAATAATTACAGTCTTAAAAACCAAACTTGAATAATAATTCTCCCCACTCTAACCTGTGTCTTATCTAACATGAAGACTTCACTCACGGAAGTCCAGCATGGATATCCTTTATATGGTTTTGTTAGATTGTGCCTCAGTCTAGCATACTTGTGAAAAAACTCATAGCAAGTATTCCTTGAAAGAAAAGGTAAACCTTTATAAGATTCAAAAAGTTATTCTCCTTCGTAAATTACAACATATAAGAAAATGTTGACTAGACAGCTTTCTGCATCCAAGTAGATTAGAAACCACGTTTCTCTGAACTACTCTCAATATTGATCCCTCGTGCCGTTACCTAGCAGGAGGAGAGGATGGCCAGTCGTATAACCAAATTGCTAACTGTCTTACGAGGTAATTGGCCAGAGCTACGCTTATGGACAACCTGTTGTTCCTGGTACAGCTAACTCCTATTTGGGAACCCTCGAGCTTTCCTGGCTAGGGCCTTCTGTCTGGGCTCATCAGTTCAGGAAATGCATTGCAAGTGCATGGTTATTTAACTGTCATCTTTTGAAAAGGCATGAATGTTTCTTTTAGTTAAGACTTATTGGAATTGTGTTTTACATTACACTGTTCAATACTAATAATATTCTCTTCCCACAGACTATCCAGATTATGCTTGGCATCTTTAATGTTTTAATGTGGTATTTCCTGTTGGTTTTATATATGGGACAAATTAAAGGAGTCTTTGGGAAAT